TAATGTAGTTTAGCTATTCAGTGAATCCCATGTTAACAAGTCAGTAGGAGGAGCTACTAAGTTCATCATAGGATATCCTGGCTACGTGCCAGCTCGTGCCTATTGTCTTTGCGAGGAACCAACCATGCCGCACGCATGGACACCAAGGCTAAATTGATTATGGAGCAATTACTGATTTTACCTACAAAGATAAACAAATATGTAACATCCAGATGAAACTACTGAAACGTGAGTTCTGCCAGTATTCCTGAATAAATATTTGTTTTATAATCATCTTTGCTGAGTTATCTGTCTGGCCTTGAATTACAAAGCATTTTGATTCAGGTTCCAGAACATTAATTCTTACTGGGAATTATCTTGTATAAAAAATTTGGATTTCAGTGAAATAGATGAGACTATTCACTATAGACTCTTAAATACAAATGTTATTGAATATATTTCTGAAACCAATGGCAAAGAGACCAAAAGAATATTTTACTAAGAGTAAGTTTCATAAACTTACATTGAACATTTGTATCAATATATTTTCAGACAAAATGGACAATGATTCAATAGAGTTCATTTGCAAGCTCCTTTCCATCTGTTTCATGGAAGAAACAGATTTTTTTAATAACCATCTTTTGTTGCTGTACTAGTGGGTGTGGCTCAATAATTAGGTATTTAGTTTATATTTTCAGCTTGCTTGAAAAATACTTCAGGCAAAATTAAGATCAGAAAAATCCAATTAGGGTAGTGCAAAAGAGAATCATGCCTCCCTATTGAAAGATCTAATTAGTTAATTAGAGGAGACCCAATCCTGGGAACTCTATGGACAAATCATGTTTTCTCAACTTGTGTCCGGCATACAACAATCCATAGTTTTTCCAATGTCATTCAAGGGATCTCCTTGATCTTTTCCTCTTCATCTTTCCTCAAATTCCCCAAATATAGCTGCTGTTTTTTTCAAGTTCTTCATTCATTTACATGAGATGCACTACATGTGTGTTTCTGCTTGTTCCAATTTAAAAAAAAGCTTCAATGGGGCAATTGGTCTTTATTTTTTCCAGGACCAATTGATTCGTTCGTAGTGTTTAAAAAAAATCTGTCATGCCTCCGTCTGAGCCTGAATCTGCGGAGGAAAATGAACTGGAACGGGACCCTATGGAGGCTAAGGGAGAGGTGTCTGTGGCTTCAGAGGAATGTGGGGAAGAGCAGGCCGAGGAAGGCCAGGGCCATTCAGGATTGGAACAGGAGGAGGAGGCAGAGTTCAGGGGATGAGCAAGGACCACCCCCACCTGATCCTAGAGCACGGAGAGTGGCGAGAAGGAGGGAACAACGCAGGCAGGCTCAATTACTAGTGAGGAGAGTGTCCCGCCCTTCTTCACAAGGAACACCTGGAGATTGAGATTTAAGAAGACGCTGTGGGGAGGGGCATTTGTTGGGAACAAACGCTGATTCTTGCAGTGTTGTGTATTGTTGATCTCTTGTTCTGTGACTTCTGTTTGGAAACTTGGAAATCAAACTATTGGATTGACTGACCACGTTACTTGAATGTTTAAAGACCTCGGACTGTATTTCGGATTCTCTCTTTTGAAAACTGCTCAGGCAAGCTAGGATTCAAACAGACTCCTTAAGTTTATGTTTTCTTCCTTATTAACTCTATGGCCTTGAGTACTTTTTTATGCTAATCAGACTGTATTTGAACCTACTTTCAGCCAGAGTTGGCTGAAGGGGTGTGCGTGTTCTTTTGTTGGAGGCTTGCCAGCAAACGTGGGAGAATTTGGTGAAAATTTGGAGCAATAAAAGAAATGTTTGAATTGCCAGCTGACTGCATTGCCTCTGTGCTGTGCCCTGGGTCATCACAAAGTTTTTTATTTCATTCTTTTGCCATTCCCACTTCAATAATTTACATTACTACTAAAAAAATTATTGCTTATCCTTGGGATCACTGAAATGCTACTATCCTTCATGAACTTCTCCAAGTTTGTCATTCGCCTTAAGTTCTCTTGTTCTCCAATACACTTTTCAGCTTTTTATTTTACTATGCCAAACATAAGTAAACTTATCCATTTCTTTCACTTGTTTGCTGCAAAAAATGAATTATCTAAGTATACTTTTATCTTCTTAATATTTAACATTTATACATTTTCATGTTCATTTTATCTTTTTAATGGGCTCTTCTAAATCTTGGTTACTTTGACTGACATGTGCTAGCTTAGTAGTATTGACACTGATACGTAAGAGCTCCAGGATTTCAGGCTGGATTTTTTCCTTAGCCCCTTTTGCTGATGATGAGATTTGAACTTGCAGTGGCCTTCCGCATATAGGATATGTGCTCAGAAAATAATATTTGAGAAAATGCAGAGATATTATTATATAAAATGAATAATTTCAGGGTAGCTTTGTCGATTATTTCAGGTTTTACATCAGAGATGGCGATGATGTTAGGTGCTTTGATTTGAAGTTGTTAATACAGAATATCAAGATTAGATTTTGCTATCTACCTGTTATGCTACCTCATTCCTTGACTAGCATTATGCCATAGCAGGATCAGACAGGTAAGTATGGGTGGGTGGAAAGATGAGGAGATTGGTATTCCTGAAGCCACTATTTGGGAATAAAAAATAATGGAGACTTAAGTGAACTCTGTGGAATTCTGCATCACAACCCATTCCTAGATAATCCCTATCCTAGAGAGCATTAACCTAATGTGACAGTATACATTGGCAATTTTCAGATGTTTCGAAGAATGCCTATGCAAGACAGAATTCAATGACCTCCAAGGTCCCTTCCAACATCATCATCATCATCATCATCATCATCATCATCATCATCATTATTATTATTATTATTATTAACATTACTATATCACCATACCTATTGGTAACAATCCAAGAAGCAATGGATAACCAAAAGAAGAAAACAGCTGTTGTATATTGTAGATAACTAAGAATGGTTAATAAAGCAATACATGTGTATCTTGACAATAGCTTCTCCAAATTCTGATTGCTTATTTATTGTTAGTGGTTTAATGTTTGTGGAGTCCTATCCCTGCACCTCCCACCTCCACCCTCAGTTCTAGGAGACTTTCAAGAAAACATAAGTATTGGTTAAGCATATAGAACTTCAGGACCAGCTAACAAAAGATTATGTAACTTTGGGGATGGCCTGCATTTTTGGATGTTCCTAAAAAAATTCATCTGAAGCCCAATCCATTCACACAAAACTTCTTGGATATTTAATGTCATTTACTTCCATTTACGTCATTGTGTCAATTTACAACAATTGTGAATGATTTAAGTATGGAAATGCTATAGATTATATCAACAATGCACATTCATATTTGATGTACATTTAGATATTGTAGATATTCCCTTTGTCCATTAAACCAAAGTTTTAACTTAATGCTATACAAGAAATAAAAACTTTTCTGTCATCTAATCGATTGCATCTACCTATCAATTTTATTCATCATCTTCACGTGACCTATAGCAGGGCTTTTCAACCAGTGGTACGGGTACCACCTGTGGTACATTAGCACCTGGCAGATGGTACGTGACCATCCTAGAAAAGTGGTAGCGGGGGAGGGGAATGAGCTGAACTGGTGGCAGCACTGCACAAGCCTGAGCGAGAGATGGCTGGAGCTGCAGGGCTCTCAGGGCTCAGCGGAAGCACCAGGATCAGCGCTACTTCGGGGCTGTCAGGGCTCAGTGGAAGCGCCAGGATCAACACCAGGCTCCAGCTGGAGCTCGGCGCTGATCCTGGCACTTCTGCTGAGCCCAGAAGAAGCGCTGATCAGCTGGAATGTTGCAGCATCTCCAGGGTCTTGTGATTTACATTCAGATGCTTGGCAACTGATTCATATTTATGACGGTCACAGTGTCCCAGGGTCATGTGAACTGACCAAAACCTGCTGCAACCACCCAGCAGATGGGGGGAATAAAAACCAAACACCCCCCACCCCACCCCCGCTGCCAATCCTCAACAGAAATGTTCACAACAATGAAAACCTCGGACAGGAGGAAGAGCGCTGCTGGGTGGGCAGGCAGGTGTCTTGCTCGGCTGTGGCTTGGGGGGCACTTTTTTCAGTGCCATTGTAACTTCGAACAGTCACTAAGTGAACTGTTGTAAGTCAAGGACTACCTGTACTTTATCACTTTTTTCTTTTTTTTTGGTCATCAAGTTTTTGACACCTTGCTAGGCGACTGGTGGTACTCGGATATTGCCATATCCTAAAAGTGGTACAATGGGTGAAAAGGTTGAAAAGCCCTGACCTATAGGATCTGCTTCTTAAATTTCTTTAAAGAACTTTCCCTTTGGCCCAAATCCTGACTTCTTTAGAGATGTACTCTAGGAAGAAAGTATTTGGGTTTTCAGAACTCCTGCTAGCTTCGGGTTCTCAATGCAGGGCAGGATGGAGAAAACTTCCATGGCATTATTTTAAGTGAGTGTTTTGATTGAGTGTAAGGAATGGCTACATTGTCTACCAAAACATGGAAATATCTCTTCTAAATCTATAGGTAAACAATAAAAAGAATGAAAGAAGTTTCAATTAAAAAATAAATAAAAAGGGAGTGCAAAAAGCTGCTATGTATTTAGTCTGCAAAAATAAAAACCCTATCTCCTTGCTACAACCTTGTGGTCCTCTGGATTTTTGCACCCCAGATCCAGGCACTATTCCCTACCACCAAGATAAAGTTCCTCCACGATGGAATCTGAAACTTGTTTACCATTCTTGAAGAAGTACAGTATTTTTGGCAACTGAGACTTCTCTCTCTATGTGGGAAATGAATAAATTGTAGCTCCGTTCTATAATATTTTTACACCCACATTGGGGTTTTTTTTTTAGGTATTAAGGTTGCATGCAAACAGAGACAGAGAAAATATGGGATGATTATTGTGGAAAAGTAGCATGAAGGCACATTGTATGGTTATCGTTGGCCAACGGCCATGACAAGCATCCAAGACACAGTTTTAGGACAAATGGTCAGAAGTACAATCCTCTCCATTTCTGACTTTACCTGACAAATGACTTTTCTCAAGGACAGGAAGCTGCATATCTTTCTCATCTGCTGTAGAGAAAAAGTGTGTGGAATTTGTGTTTAAACTATTTTTTCCCTCTGCTTGGAAACTTTGTTTCACAATATTGAAAGTACAAAATGGGTTAATCCTATTTGGGTACTTACATGGCTTCACACATCTGCTAATGCAGTCAGCTTCTGTCTCAAATCTATTGGCATTACCGCCACACCCACCATACCAAACCTGGGTGCAGATCTTGTTTTTGTAGTCAAAGAACCACTTAACCTGATACTCCTTGCACTGCATGCCCATGTCAAGGTCCAGTAAGCAAGGATCTGTTAAATTTGAATTTCAACATGTGCAAAGGTTAAATGATCCTGAAAATATTAAAAGCTTCAAAACAGGCACAAGATGCCAACAAAAAAAAACATTTTCAACAAACAAAAAGGAAGTAGAATACAAACTTTCAGTAATGATTTTTAGAGAAACTATATGGAAAATAATAACCTTGCACTGCTAATAAAATCACAAATATACCAGGCAGCCAGTGCATGCGTGTAAATACTTTATTGGCTCATATCTTTCATGATGGGCTATCAAAGTGCCACATTTCTGCAGGCCTCTGTTAAGTCATTAGCCAAATCCAGTGCAGAAGAGCAGTCAGAAATATAAAAAGCAGAGTGGGGAAAATACAAAAAGGGTGTAGTGGCAAATCTCACAACTCACTGAAACTGTATACTTGTTTCCCCAAATTATACTGTTCTTAATTTTATCACCAATGGCCAACCCTCCCCTGAGTACAAATAATACCCTTATCAGAAGACCTGTACCTTCTTAGATGTAGAAGGTGAATTTCAGCACACAATCAGATCTTTTCCTGTGGAGCCTTTATTCTACTTCCCTTCCACTTAGTTGGATTTGTTGGCCTTCTCGGTTAAGGGCCAGTACTGTACTGATGTCAACATTTGCTGTACTGCTCAACTGAGGGCAAACTGGCCACATAGATGTGGCATGTCTGTCAACCTAGAGCTTGCAAGGTGTGAATTAAGCTACACTGTGAATTTGTATACTGTTGTCTGGTTCTGGGAGTGCTTTCTGAGGCACTATCACACTTTGAAAGTACTTCATGTGTAACCACCTCTTGCCAGGAGAAGGAAACTGAATTTACAATCCTAGAGTCTTATGGGTTGGCAAAAGCTGAGAGTCCCAGACTTTTTCCAATACGAAAAGCAGAGTAGCAGTTGTTTGAAGGGTTTAGGTTGGGATAGAATTGTTTGAATAAGACCTTAATTGTGTTAGAATTAGACAACAGTGTGACCTAAATCTAAGCTCAGAGGAAAAAAGATTTTTTTTTAAAAAAAAGTTACATATAATAATTAATTAGGGGCTAATATACTGTATACAAAACAGCTCTTTCAATGAATCCAATGGTCATAGAATTTCTTTTTTTAAAATAAAATTTTAAAATAATTTTATTCACCTTATAGGTAGTCCTCGACACAAGTGAGCCCAAAATCCATTTTACGTCCCTTTTGCCACAGTTTTAAGCAAATCACTGCAGTTGTTAAGTGGACCATGCAGTCATTAAGTGAATCTGCCTTCCCCCCATTAACTTTGCTTTTTGGAAGCCATCTGGGAAGGTTACACACAGTGATCACATGGCCCTGGGACGGTGCAACTGCCATAAATACATGCCAGTTGCCAAGTGCCCAAATTTTGATCACGTGACTACGGGGATGCTGCTAAAATCATAAGTGTGAAAAATGGTCATGTCACTTTTTTCAGGGCCATCGTAACTTCGAACAGTCAGTAAACAAATGGCTGTACGTTAAGGACTACCTGTACTTGGAACTTTTGTGTCCTTTACTTCATATTTTGTTTTCTACTTCTGCACTGAAGTTTATTCCTATCTCTTGGTTGCATAATAAGGTTTTATCATGTCTCAAAAACCTGGGCTATTCAGTGAAGCAGTCCCCATAGCCATTTGGAAGAGTACACATGAGCACACAGCACAGACACACAAACGCACACTGTTTCCTACTGTTTCCACCAGAGAAAGCACCCAAAATCATGTCATGGCATCTTCAGAACAGTATGAAGTGACTACAGGGAACTTTCTCACATTAGGAGCCTTTGTGAGTGAATATAGATCCAAAAGAAAAGGGTTATTGTTATTACATGAATTTTACATGGCTCTCTTGCAAAAGAATAGTTGAAAAGAAGTTAAACTAGACGAGGAGAAGAGACTTTGAAGAACCAGTTCGGTGTTGCAACAACTGTGTTATAAACGCTGAAAATTGGTAACAGAAAAATAACTGCAATTATACACATTAAAAAGACAAGAATGATAGAATTAGACAAACCAAGATGAAAATGATTAAAGAAATTAATTTGTAATGCAAATATGTAAAAACTACCATGTCTGGGGAAAAGATATCTCCATCAATTTCCAATTGAATATTTGCAAATCTCAATGTTTTCAAAGTTGTCTTTCAGAATTTATCTCTCATAAGGATTTAGTTTTCTATATTTTTCTATGATTAATTTCATAAAAGAGAATAGCATATTCAAAACAGCACTGCTGGGTAGCCTGTATGAAGATACACATCTGGTACCTTTCACCAAACCTTCAGTTATCAGTCTGAATGAAAGGAAATCCTAGTATTTTTTTTTCATATGGTCTTATATAGCAGTTTGCTTTAAAAAAATGTGAGTTCTACCCCAATCATGAACATTATTAGAGATGTCTGGCAGGGCAGTTCAGGCCAAAATTCATAATATGCAACAGAAAAAACAGAAATAATAACCAAAACAAAGCAAAATAAAATACATGTCTGCATTTGAAATGTGAAAGAATTATGTGGCACCTATCTTTCCTGTTAATAGACAATGCACAAGGAAGTTCAAAGACTATTAACAGTAAAGATAACATTAGATTTTGAAAAATTACAAATCCAATATCAATTCAATCCATCTTAGTTGTGTAAAATTGTATATCTACCATAGTTTTTAAAAAAATTATGAGCAGACAAATCAGAGTGGCAGCAAAATAAAAACTGATTTTAACAGAGGTTTCATTAAAATTATGACAATTTCATACACTTGTCATATTAACATAAAATTATTATAACAAAAATAACACAACAATCACACATTTAGAACAAATGTGAATTATCTACATATTGTTAATAACTGAGTTTAGCACAGTGATTTGTTAATGCTTTGTTACAAAAATAAATAATTAATTGAGCTAAGACACATGGCAAAGAAATGAGCACAGGGTTTTACAGTGACACAGCATCCCATAACTCAGCCTTTTCCAATGAGCCATAAGAAAATATATATTTTCCACTACCCCAGAAACATTTTATGCTAGGATGACTGGTGGCCTATTAGGGCTGGCAGGGCTTTGGAAGTAATTAAAAAATGAACCTTTGATACATGAACACAGCACCTGGCTGCAACTCTTTAAAACAGATGTCTGTCACACAGCTGCCCAATGTAACTGTCAATTGACATAGCACAAGGTAAGTCATGGCTACTTTGAAAGAACTGCAGATACGGGTACATTCATATCAATGTGCACTTTGAAGCATCTTTTTGGAAAGCGCTGCACAGTTGCACGACATGAGCCATCATTTGCCCTCCAAAATACAAATGAACAGCACTACTAGAACAGTAGCGATGGGCCTTCTTTTGGGAAGATTGTTAAGACAACTGAGCAAGTTTCCCTAGCGGTAATCACAGAAGAAATGCAATCTGCTCCTAGGATATTTTTTTATTTACAAGTTTCCTAAAGCTTTAAACCTTGCAATGCTGTAGAATGCCTTACCATTACTAATGTCATAGGAGCTGTGAAAAGTACAGTTGTGAGCATTTTCCCCCGAAAGACTATTGTAGGGCTGTGCAAAACCAGGCATTCTTCCTTTTCACATGCTTTCATACAATGTGACAAGCTGTGACAATGTGACAGACATACAATGTGACATACATACTGTACATACATACATACATACATACATACATACATACATACGTACATACTAAGAAGAGATGCACAATATGGTACATTTCATTTGAGCATCCTCTTAGTTGTTCTGGAATTTTCAAAATCATCCTGTATTAGAATCCAGCTTTAATTTCTACAGTCCTGTCATGCTTTACTCAGAATCAACAATAATGGTACTATTTGCTGGCACTAGCTAATGGAAACTCTGGTATAAAGTGTGGGGCATCTGCAGTTCATGATCATGAATCTACTTACCACTTACTTTGGGATAAAAAAGTTCCTTAGCACATTATGTTCACCCTTCAGTTTACATATTTTACTATTCCACAAAAATCAACCAGTATCCTTCATTTCAGGTAGCATATCGCGTTGGTACCACTTTAAAATGTTCTGTCTAGAACATAAGTTAATCCAGAGATCCTCAACCCCCGGTCTGTGAACCGGCACTGGTCCGTGGCATGCCAGCAACTGGGCTGTGCAAACAAGCAAAACCCCATCCACGGGATGCAGGCAGCATGTGAAACTACGCTCCTTCTGGTCCACGTAAAAACCTCTTTCCAGGGAACCGGGGGCTGCTAGTTTAATCCATACAAACTTTCATTTCCCACACCTTTGACATCTTTTACAGCTTGGACTCACCTTTTTCAAGGACTTCCAAAGGTTCAGTGTTCACCATTACATTGGTTGCTGCTGCTGCTGCTGCTGAAGGGCCCTTGACTGCGGGCATGCTCTCTGTAGAAAGAAAGCCAAGCAATTGTGAGGGTGGGCTCGGGACACTCAAATCACAGCAATAAACTTTTTTACTTACATCCAGCCTGATTGAGACATTGCGCACAACACTTCTTCAGCTTTGTATGTAATGATACATAAAGAACAAGAAAGCTATCATGTGTTTTAATATTATGATTTTAGCCAGCACAGTGCCTAGGAATCAATTAAAATCATAGAAATATTATAGAAATATACAGGTGTATATTTTGAATATTTGTAACACCTGACTATATCCAGTAATCCAGTTATGATTACTTATTATGAGCTCTTTTTAAAAGAGACATTTTGAGCAAACTTGCCTCAAGTGTAAAATGGTTCTTGACAAAGGTAATACCCAAATCAAGAACTTCATTCAGAAATATGTTTCCCACTAGAAATTAAGCTTCAGCAGTGTAAAAATGCAGGAAGAGAGGATTATTCCTTCTGAGTAGATTCTTGGAAGTCGCAGATCAATATTAATCAAATTGTTACAATATTATCTTGTTCTTGTATTGTTAAAAATCTATATCAAATGAATGTCTCATAGCATACAGTGCTGCTTAAAAATGTGACCCAAATTCATAGCATTAATTAGGCATATGTCATTATTATTAGGACAATGTACTGGTATGCTTCTTCATATGCCCAACATCCGAAATTGATAGAAAAAACAATGTATTTAATTCCAATACCTAAGATAACTTACTTGTATTAAATGTTCCCTTATAAGTAGCTTTGGCCTGGGCATTATGGTAGCCTGTGATAGCAACATGATACTTTTGTCCACTCTGAAGACCTCCAATGACTCTTTCATTGCTAGTTAAATTAAGCTTCACAACTAAAGAGTGGTCATGTGCTGAGGTGACTATGATGTCATAGACATAGACTTTCTGAAGCTCAGGAATCATCCAATGCAGCTTAGCACTATTTTCAGTGATATCAGTTATCTGGACGTCTCCATTATGTTTAATCACTGTTGAAGAAAAGAAAAGAAAAAAAAACTAATAAAAGGACAAAATTAATAGATTCAGCATTTTAAGGAGGTTCAGGATAAGACATCAGGAAAAGGAAAGACATCATTCATAAAAATTTACCTGATCCTAGAGTAAGTAACACAAGAATCCCTCAACAGAGGTGGAAAAAAAATCTCTATAATAACCTAAGAACATTCCAGTATGCTAGAACCTTTAATTGCATGTGGAACTGTGTACTGTTTGCAATCTGGAGAAGATTAAGACCTGCCTGCTAATAGGCACAGAAAATGAAAAGATCACATTTTGGGTTAGAAAACACAAGAAGAGGCTGTAATTAAATGCATTAAATACAAGCTACATTTAAAATAATATGCAAACAAACCCACAATATCTTTTTATTTTGTTTTAATGGGGAAAAAAGTCTCCTGAAGCTGCAACCATTGAAAAGAGTTGCTGAGAAAACTTCCAGCTGTTTTCCTTTGTAAAAAAAAAAATATTGTCCATTGCTTCTTGCGGTTTTTCCAATTATTATTTTTAAATATAATCTGCAGGGCTTCTTTTCATACATATCTCTTTTACTGAAGCAAAGATACGGTATTTGAAGTTAAACATAGTAATTTTTTGTAAACAAAACAGTAAATAGCAAATTATTGTAAAGTAAAATATTTAGATCTGCTTAACAATAGTAGGGAAATGTACCTACCTTCTGTTTTTTCTGGTACAGCAGGTGTGACAGTAACATTATTTGGAATATTTCTGATTGAAGAAACAAATAGTTATGAATATGCATACTGTAAATAATCAAGTTACTTTTAAGTCATTGTTTTAAAATCTGCATCAGCACTCTTTTGCGCTTGTTTGGTAGAGTTATTTAGGACAGCAGCTTTAAAAAAAATCTAATGTTCCTTTCTGAACAAAAACATTTTACAGTTTTTAGCAAATTTATTTTACCACTTTATCCAAAAGATAGTAATTTTACTAAGATGCTCCTAAGATGTTCTTGAAAAGTAAATTTGGTCAGAAAACTATATGGGATTTTCTGGACATGGGGTATTTCCTAGTATTTGTGTATATGAATATTTCTAGTATATTTTCTAATTTATGAATACATGTTCAGATCTGAAAGACCAAGTGATCATCTTAAAGATACTATACTTCCAACCATTAGTGAAGTGACTGTTCTGATTAAAAGCTATCTGTGGTAGCTTCCCAAACAGATATGTAGGAGGATTTTCAGTTGATCCAGTTGACCATCAGAGTAGAAATTTAAAAACTGAAGTAATCAGGACTGAAAAAGAAGCATTTTCTTGTTGATGACTTAAAGAGCTCTCCAGTCATCCTTCAAATTTTATTGCTGCTCCATCTCATGTCCCTTTAGTCTATTCCAACCCAATGCTAAATGGGGCTATTCTCATCATGCCTGTGCAGTATTTGAGGGACAAATAATCTGCTTGATTCTTGAGAATGTGCTGCTCTCCCTTCTCAGCAAGTCATCAGCCACACAGATAAAATATCCACAAATAAAGCACAGCAGCAGGGATGGGGGGAGCCAGATTCCAGGACTCTATCCAACTATTCCTTCCTATGACCCATTCTCCCATATCCAAGCTGAATACGTGGGGGGTTTTTTTTAAAGAAAAAAAAAAGATCAGCATCGCAAAGGTTGCCAAATTCATAAGCACTGGTTATATTTAGAAATTTACCATTCTTCTTTTTTCTTTCTTTACATAGGATAAAGTTCAATCAATCAATCAGAATAGAGCTGGAAGGGACCTTTGAGGTCTTCTAGTCTAGCTCCCTGCTCAAGCAGAAGAACCTATACTATTTCAGACAAATGATTGTCCAGTCTCTTCTTAAAAACCTCTAGTGATGAAGCACTATTTGCAGTATTTCAGGTGTGACCTTACTAAGGCTTTTTAAAGAGACAGGGAGAGAGGCAAGCCTACATCAGTTTAAAAGGAAGAATAAGAGACTTCTGGTTTTGCGTGGTAGTGACCGGTCATGGGCTTGCAGATTCTCCGTACCCCCGCGGCTAAATTCACCCTGCCAGGGGACCCTAAATGTGTCTAAGGCACCCCGGAGAGGCGACAAAGAAAGAAGAGTGCTCCAGTGATTCTGGAATGGCAGCGGCCATTCCATTTTACTTGGGGAAAGCCTTCTAACCTGACAGGAGAAAGGCTGGCCATATTGCATCGACCAGCCCAATCTACTAGCAACTGAAGTCTAAAAGCACTAACCAGCACAACTGTGAACAGTGTGCTTGAAACTGGGTGAGGAATTCAGTCTTCTCTTTTCTATTTTACATTTAATTTCCTGGAAAAGATCCCCAAGAAGCAAAATACCTCCAAAAGGGAATGAGGGGGATTTCCGCCCCACCCTTATACTAATGGAAGCGGTGAATTAATCTTTTTATGGAGGATCAAAATATATGGAAATGAAATAAATATAAAATCTGAAACTTAAAACTCAAATCTGGATAAATCGAAAATTGTTTGAATGGTTCTCATTTTAAAGATAATTGTTCATTTTGGAAATTGAAAAACAAATAGTCGCTGGCACCTAGTGGCAGATGAAGACTATGACAGCTATGATTTTAATATAAGACCTGGCAAAATCTGGGAAAAGCTAATCTATGTCTGTGACCTTCAAAGCTTTAACAACAAAGAACAGCTGTGACAAAAAAAAGACAATAATCTGGGCTGTAGACAAAGAGAGAATTATAAATTTCAGGAAAAAAATCTTTTTTTGAACTATTTGGATTACAAATATCTATCTAACTGAGACTCTAAAGCTATTTGCAGAGAAAAGAAAGGAAGAGGAAAACTTAGATTCTTGGCTATCATGGATCAGAGACATGTAGAAAGAACATATCAAGAAAACATAAATACTTCACAGAAGGAGATATATAGTGTACTGCAACTAATTCAAACAACAATGACTTTAAACCACAAAGAAATCCAAAACAACTTTGAAAATATAAATAAATATATTTACAAGTTAACTCTACAGCAAAAAAATTCCCAGAAAACAACAACAGAGAAGGAGCAGATAAAACAGATAAATAGATATAGAATTGAGAATAGAGACTTAAAGATGGAACTTAACAAAACAAGGAAACATGATTTAATCCTAGTGGAAAAAAATTCACAAGAATTGGAAAAAACAACTTATCCCTTAAGACTACAAAATAAATCTGAGGACAAGAAAACAGATTGGATAAAATGGACTGTAAAGATGTCAGGAACATCGGAGAGAAAGGAAATGATAAGAGAAGCGGAGAGAAAGAAAAAGAAAAAGATTTTCAACAAACATGGAAAGGCAGAAGTCCTGTACAAAGACACTTCTTTGTACACCTGATTTACTTTTTATATATACAGCAACATTTGCGAACACATGGAAAAACGTTTTGATTCAGCAAAATACATTGATTAAGAAAGACACTGGGCAAAAGAAAAAAACTAAAGTGGAAACTAAGAAAATAGATGATGGGACTTACCAGAGAAAATACTTAAAAAAGAAACATTTGTTTGAATATGGTTAAAGAAATAGAAAAGTTTTGGAATATATATGTCACTCTAAGAGGGATGAATTCTCTAAATATAATATAGTATGCTTTTTTCCCTTTTTTGTTCTCTTTCTTGATATGAGTGATATAAAAAATGTTGAAATGATTTAGATAAAGGAAATGTTTTAGATATTTAAATGTGATTGAATTTAAGAAAATTATAATGGATAAAAGTGTTTTGAATAAGAGTTAAAGGACTAGATGACTAGATGTATTAAATGGAATGTTTAAAGATTAAACATATTTTTAATTATGGTTAAAAAGAATAAGAAATTTAGGAAATAAATACATATTAGCTTAGGAGGGATATATATTTTAAGTAGTATGTTATTTTTATGCTTCTTTACTCTTGCTTTTCTTTCTTTTTTTCCACTGTTTTATCTATTCCTTAAGAAAGATAAAAGTGTGAGATGGTTCATATGGAAAAATAGAGTTAAATTCTTAAATGTAATTAATTTTTGAGAAAATCTTAACCAGTAAGAATATCTAGAATTTGGTGGGAGAAACAAATTAAAATAAGGACTATAATAGGATCTATGATAAGGCAATCAGAATGATTGGATAGAAAAGAAACATTATATTGATATGATTATTATTTTTAGGACTATTGGGAAAAGTTATATATTTAATTGTTATCTATCAAAACAATAAGAATTGTATTAATGTTTGCAAAAAGGATATTTTGGGAAAAGAGGAAATCAACTAAAACTATTGTGTGGATTATGGATTATAGAAATCAATTGTTAGTGATTGTTTTACAAATGTAACCCAGACAACACACTGTTCCCCAATTATTAAGTGATTTATGTTTTTAAAAAATCAATAAAACATATTACAAATAAAGGAAGAATAAAAGCTCTCATGTACTATTAGTCACCCAACTTAATCTTTGATAGAGTGCTCATAGAACATAGCAGTTTTTATACAACTTGCAGCCATCATAGAATGCTATTGGTTTGAAAGGGAAAACAATGCTTTAACCCCAGGACAACTACATACAATTAAAGACAACTTAAGGGTTGAAGATGAGACAAGGACAGGATCAAGTGGTGATACTACTTTATACCCATATAAGGAACAGCTCTAAACCTATATTTATTGTCCCTTCAATTCCCAAGTATAATAATAATAATTTAATACTTTATTAAATTTGTATTTAATAATGACTGGGTGACTCACAACAATCAAACAAAGGAATTACAATACAATCAATAAAATAGAAAAAATAGAGACAAAAGATGAAAAGCATAATGAAGAGAGGCGTCTCATTCCTCCACACATAATTTGATATCTGGGGGGAAATTTACTTTCTGACACTAAAAATGAAGATACTTACAGTTGTTTTGGGCCATTTTTTTTTATTGGCTGGTCACCCTGGAACAAATCACATTTTTTCCTGATATCTGGAGACAAGTAAAAGGCATTTTCACCTAAAACATAAAGGAGAATTTTTGAGTAAATATTTTCTCATTTCCCAAACATATTATAGGAATATAAACCATGTCTTTATTTAAACATTCTAACATTGTATTTAGATTTAGTAATATTCTGTCAGGCACAAGCAATCAGACCCACATGTGAAGAGTTCAAGCTTGCTGCTTTATTATATTCTGCCTATTGTATTGGAATTTCCCATCCTAAGCCTGGGAACAAATAGATAAGGCTCTATGAAGCTTAAGGGGCAGCAGGGGAGGGGGGATTAGTTCTGGATCTGTTGCAGCCACACAAGAACTTGAAGCTAATTCAGTGTTTGAGGCCTCCTCCCACTCCCCACCCCCGCTGCTTGACTGGGCGTTTCCCAACACCTTCTCTATTGTTACTATAGAGATATACAGTAATAACCTACATGAGGTCTCTTTTTGGCATCAATCTAGCAAGAAATAAAGTGCAGCTTTTTGTTCTGCTGTTTCAAATTATACCAGTTATATGTCTGGATAAACAGCTGCATGCTCCTTTTCTGACTATTTTTAAATGTTACTTGTTAATAATTTTAAAGCAAAAAAAGAAAAGAGATTGATTGAGCAAGCATGGGCCTTTTCTTTAAGTAGAATTAAAGGATTTCCATTTGTTTAAATAGGAAATAGGACACTTTATACAAATATACTGATACATTTTTTTTAAGTTTAATACCTATAACAGAGGAACTAGGAATTATGAGGCATCTAAGATGCATACAAATTGTGTTTACTCAGGATTAATTATTCCAAGTTTGACAATAATTATTTTAATCAACACAAAATCCAGGAATCATTTCAGAGAAATCCATCTGATACTGCAATTGTAGGATCAAAGTATCCAAATTGGCTGGCAAACTTTTTATTTAAATATGACTAATTAAATTGATGTAGTCATCTTAATCCAATCCAAAACTGCCATGTTTCAGGTTCTTGGGGCTCACAGAAAAACACACAGCTGTGGGGCTGGTTAGTGCTCTGAAAGCCCTCCCCGCATCTTTTAATTATTAACATTGATTTTTAACTATCTTTGCCTCTTCTTAAATTTTATATATAGTTTTTATGGTTTAATATTTTGTATTCCACCCAGAGTCTCTCTGTGAGGGAAATGTGTGATTTCTAAGTTTCATGGATGGATGGATGGACAGACAGGTACTGACTGAAGTACGCAGTCAAATATGTGGTTTTAGGTTTCTTTTGCAACATTGTTCTTTGACTGTACAGTCTTACACCCTAAACTATAAAAGGAAGCTCCCCTCCCAGGTTCAGGTTCTCTTCTGTCTAACTCTTCTACACTCAATACCTTTCACTGGCGGATTAAGCATCTACTTACTGTTGATGAAGGATGGTAAGAGGCTTCCAAAATGTAGCAATGGTTCTTCATGAAGTTCTGATGCCTTATCAGCATATTTGAAGAAGACATCATTAGGCTCACTTGCCAAGCTGTAGATACTTGGAATATTAATATTCCTACCAACGCCAATAATGACAAAAAAATATCCTTTACATTTAGCTTCTATAATAACTTCCTGAAGGTGTTCAAGTTCTTCCTTTTCAATGCCTCCTGTCATCATCAAAACAATGACTTTGTGATCTCTGGGATTTGGTGCACTTTCAAAAATATGCCTCATTGTATAGTCTACTGCTGTTGCCACAGCCCGTGTTCCATAAAGTTGTGAAATTTGGTTCTGAATGAAATCCGTTAATTTGTCCCTAGGTCCATAATCTGTGAGTGACAATTCAACTTTGACAGGAGATATGCTTGAGTTGGATTGAAACTCAAAGGGAGCATGTTGGACAACAGCGACCCTGGCATGATGTCGAGATACCTTGGGATCAGAACTAGTTTCCAGTTGGTTTACTATATAGGAAATGTAGCTTTTAATTTCTTTGAACTGCATTGGAGTGGTACTCTCAGAACTATCCACGATGAATGCTATATCAATGTCAACATCTGTAGGAGCTGCCCGTCTGTCTCTGCCAAAGCTACCCCTCTGGATACCACAGCTGGGATCAGGATCACATACATCTAGATAAATAAATATATAATTGTTACATAATTAATATTTTCAGTGCCCTTTTTTTGTCCTTCAGTTGGACAAAAACAGCAAGATATACAAATCTACAATTGTACCAAAAACCAAAACATCTACATTAGTAGCTTCCAATTATGCATTTAAAAATGCTTTAGATGTTTAGAGTGAGTCTAAAATCCTTGACTGACCTATAAAATTTTCCACCATAAAATTTTTTACTACAATGGGAACCATTGCACTTGGCAATTGGATGACTGCATTATGAGCAAATTGTAGTATTGCTTTAGTGAGGCTAATTGTAGATTTAAACTTCATCTGGGTTTCATCACTACCAAAGCAATCCCAGTAGTGAATGATCATGAGAACAGAAATGTAAAAATAAAATGTCCCTTTAATAGCACTATTAGAAACAGAGGGGACATTAGTAACAGTCAAAAAACAAATGCAATTGTTCACAAGATTCTTGAAACCTGCTCAGACTGAACCGCTGGTTCCAGAATGGTTTCTGATCATCATAAGGCATTCTGACCTAATGCAAAGTTGAAAAGAAGGCAGGTCCATCTATGGTCCTCCAATGTGGCCCTTACATGGCAGAGCTTAAAGCAAACAAAAAACCCTCTCAAATTTCCTTGGTTCCCTCTAATTTGTCAAAAATCTTCAAGCAGACTGGTTACAAATTGATTTTCTCGTAGTACACAAATATCTCAAGTAAAAAAATATGTCATATATTTTACCTAGACAAATATGGCATGTGAACACTTTCCTAATAGTTGCAGCCAGTTGACTAGCGCCACCAGTAAATGCGAAAGCCTGTCCACCAGTGTTGTTTATCTAATTAAAACAAGAAGAGAAACATGCAGTCAATGGAATTCTGAACACAGTTTGTTAAATTGTCCAGGGTCTCTAAAATATATCAAGAAAGAGTTAGCTTTTCTTAATTCCACTTGAACATATATACATCTCAGTATATTTCTGTAAATTGTTCTGTATATTCATCTTTTAGATTCAAAACCTACCTTTCTGCATCATTGAGAGAAGGATTCAACATGAATGTGCAGTTGGCCATAAGACTTTATGCAAACAGTTTGACTATTCTTTATCTCCTACTATACCTTCAGAACATCTGAGGGTAGGGCTCACAACATGTGGGCCTTGGAAATGAAATCACAACTGCAGCTCCTTAGCATATCACCATCCATATCAACCTATTCACAAGAAATGTGATGTGAAAAACTAACAGTATATACTTAGCCACAAAACTCATGAAGTGGCTTTGAATTAAGTACAATCCCAACNATCCCAACTAGTTTCCAAAATTATTGTTATGATAAAATGGAGAAGCAATTATGATATTGTTATCTTGAGCTGTAGTAGAAGAGGTAGGAGAGAATATGAAAGAGAGGGAGAGAGAGAGATGTCAACAATGACACCTTAAAAACTAGATCATGCATGAATTCTCAAATCCAATTAATGTGACTGCACTATGAAATGAACAACTCGTGTAGGAACAATTTTAACTGGGATACCATGCATCTCTGGGAAAAAGCGCTTATCGTGATTCAAATTAGGAAGCCATTTCACAAAATTACTGTCCTATGCAGGTTTCCCCTCATTGTCTGAGAATTTTCCTTTTAATCCTTCTAAGGATAGTTTCAAAAATAAAAGTTGCCACATGGTATTCTAACAAAGAAGTTTTTTTATGTTTTATTTAATCTGGGTGCCATGCCATCTTTTTTAAAACAATGACATAATGCCATCTCCTTAGTCTCTTCTTTCATCCACAGTATACACTGACTTGACAGCTTCGACTGATAAAGAAGCAGCCATACACTATTAATGGACTTTATGGCTTATATCCAAAGAACTGTTTACATGAGCCAGATGCTCCTATTTGGATAGACAGTCATTTCTGCCAACTTCCCCATCCTCAGGGTATTCCCCACCACCACATGATATAATGCTTTTTCTTCATCTTTAGGACTGTTTTTTTTTAATTACAAACAAAGGAAGAAGTAAGTCCTACTGGATACATAGAATGTCAGGTATAGATCTCCGGAGTCAAATCATTATTTTGAACTTAGGAAACTAATAAACAAAAACAGGAATCTGCCACAGTAATTGGCAGCCCCCCCCCACTCCTTCCTGAAGACAGTTGATTTCCTGTTGTTCATGGTCTTAAGGGATGGTATGTGTGTCCACAGCATATGATAAAAAAAAATAATCAAGATGATGGTCACAACAGTGCAAAGCTTCAATTGCATAACTGTGGCTGCCATCTTGATTTTTTTTTATTTTACCATACTCTGAGAACCCCTGTGAGGGAAGATTTTATAGGTTTTTCTTGGACAAAAGCAACTATATGCAAAAGCATCCACGTTGTCTGCTGCTTTTAAGACTCTGCCTAGCTACTGCTGATAAACACAAAACTTTCAGGCTGCAGATGAAAGTTTGAATCATTCGTATATGAACTCCCTATGCAGCAGCATCTTTTCTCAGGATCAAATAGTTTTTGCTCATAGCTGTAGCATAATTTGGGGAAAAGATGCATTTGGCTTAGGGAGTTGCCACAAGTGCTCCGCACAGCAAATACTCTGAAGCAATCTTTTCAAATCCAAAATATTGTATACTCACTGATCCAGAGACAGTAATCAATATTAAAAAAAATAACAAAATTAAGCCATTTTGTTGAGTGCTCCTGAAAGATAGAAGTGGCTGATTGAATCCTATAACAATGATTGATTGATTGAATCCAGGAAAGACTGTGCAAGGGGAAGTAAAACAAAAGGAAACAGACCTGTAATGCGTCGATAAGGACCCTGTCCTCTCTGTTTGTAAGGAATACAGGCAGAACTCCAGCAATGTACAGTCTTAGTACTGCTTCATTCAACTTTGGAGATGCTTTTGTTGGCCCATTGGTGAAGAACACAGCCACCTTCCTCATAAGGAAGCCACTACGTGCACGCTTGAAAGTATTCCTGGCCACAAATCCCATGGCTGTTTCTAAGCTACGTTGCTTGGATGTCTGAACAAATTGGAGATCCTTAATTCGTTTTACTAAATCCTTCTTCTTTCTGGAGTCAGCAAAACGTATCTCAGTGGTAACTTCACTGTTGTATGTAACCAGTGCTACTCGGGCACCTCTGGGGCAGTTGCTTTCTGCAATTGTGATATTGTTAACAATTGACACTATTGTGTCCTTCATTCTGTTGAAAGTGTCTGCATTTCCACCAGCGGCAGTATCAAGAGCAAAGGCCAATTCAGTTGGATAAACAGGACATTCCTTTGGGCCTGCAGAAACCGGGAATATTAAGAAACAAGTAGTATGAGAAAAAGGTATTAGCTTTACTGCCCCCCCCCAAGGAAATGACAGAGTTTACCAGCAAATAATTCAATGCTTGTCTTTCAAAGAAATTGTGTATGTCAGTTTTTCATCTGACTGCATGCCAGTGTCCGATAATGAGTAATTTAAAATGAACTTACCATAACAGCAAGCTGCAAATAATAACAGAGAAAGAAGGACAAGAAAGAAATTACTTTATAATCTATACCAAGAGCCAACTTACATCAAGACCAGGGGCAAAAGAAATAGACTTACGACATTTATCTTTGATGTTGCGTACAAGTGTGCAGTGCTTTAAAATAAAGAGAGAGAGAGAGGGAGAGAGAGTGAAAAAAGATTTCCAGCCTGAAAAAGTACAAAAGATCTGATACCATAAACAAATGGTTGACTTACATCTCTAGACTCTCCTTTGCTACCCATAAATCCCTGAAAGAAAGGATTTTTAAAAATGTAAATATAATTTACTGTGAATAAATTTAACTGTGCTTGTTTAAAATTGACTTGACAAGTTCAGACACTTAATTAATCATATGGGAGAACAAAGCCCAGAGATTGGGGGAGAAAGTCTTGTCTGTGAGTTGCCAGGAGTACAGAAAGCCAGCCATGGAGGCTGAATCTGTGCATGCCGACCCAGAAGGAAGCCACTCATGAAACAAGTAGAACTTTCTTTCAAAATAATACCATGCATCCAGTTACAACCAGTTTTACTGTCACATCTCCTTAGAGGAAATTGAGCACATTTTTTTTTAAGGATGCCTCCTCTCTCATTTTACAGACTGGGATATCTTGTCATGTCTGATAGATATAATGAATTCAGATAGAAACACAGAAACATAGAAAACTGATGGCAGTAAAAAGCTTAGGTATAGAAGTCTAGTGCTATTACTATTGCTATCTGCTCCTTATCAGTATGCATCCCAACACAGGGGAAGACAACATCCTGCTGGTTTATTACATTAGATTTCTACTTTTAATGTACATTATATTAATATAGTGATACATTTATCTACACTACATTAGATTTCTACATCTACAGTTCTATATACAATAGCTGACGCTCACTGAGTAACAAAATGAGGGAAATGTAATGCAAAACCTGAAATATTTACAAAGTTTTTATCTCAAAATCCAAAGTGAGAAGCTTTGAAACTGAAGGTACAGACTTTATAACTTTTGAATTTTCACAGATGATCCTTCCTTTATTGTAGCTCAGTAAAATGTAGGTCTTTAGCTATTGTAAGAGTTGTTGAAAAAGATGCAGTCAGTACATTGGTATTCTGAGCAGGCTCATGGCAGAATTCCCACATAAGCTAGCGGTTCCTACAATTTTACTTAATCTATGTACACTTTTAAGTGATGCAAGCAAGTCAGGAATGTACAGAGTAAACACGTTAAAGTCACATCTCAATTTTTTGTGATTCTTATGAGTTTACTTAAGAGAATGAATTTTAATTTAACTTTACAACTGAAGTTAAATAGGGAGCATGTGAGCTTATTTGCAAATTGTATGAAAAGGAAGCGCAAAGTATACTAGTGAAGTATAATTACTAAAACAAGAACCAGCATAGCAAAAACTTACAAGTGGTCCTGGATATCCACTCTCTCCTTTCTGACCTCTTTGGCCAGGTTCCCCTGAATGTCCCTAAAAAGGGAAACCAAGACATTTGATTCAGATCATAAATATATTTTCATATTATTCATTCCTGCTCTTTCAAGTTAATTAAATATGTCCTCATTTGTTCAGGTTTTTGGATCTATTTCTACATTGAAGATTCCACCGCAGTATTCTCCTTTGCTCCTAGTCCATAGATTCTCCACCTTCATCTCACATTCACTAGGCATCTAATGTATCCAACACTTGTCATCATTACTTTAATCTAGAAGGTTTGTTTAAATTAGCAATCATTTATTTTTCATATCACTTTTATTTGTTGTAATTCAATTTTAGTTGTATGAAAATAATTTGGGTTATATATTATTGTACTATTTTAAATAATTATTGAGGGTCATCTAGTTAAAGGCACATTATAAATAATAAAATTCATTTCTCTAATGATGTAAAGATTAGAGATGAACCACTAAGATTGCCCTTGCGGGAGGCAGCTACTAAAAACCCAAAACATAGTTTTCAATTTAGTTTAATAATAAAAAAACATACAAATCCTGTAAGCCTCCTAAAACTTCTAACATGACACGCCCAATTCAAGAAAATCCTGATTCACTCATGGGTATTATATTCTTTCCCACATGCACACATGCGCCCACCTACATATACATAAGTATACCAATTGTCACTGTTATTAAAGCCTTTGTCCTATTTAAAAAGTGTGGAGTACTGTCCTTGGGTAAAAAAGATTGCCAACTCTAATAAAGACATAGTGTGTCTAAAAAACATATAAGTATTTGCAGATGGGTATGTAAGATTGTTCATAGTATTATAATACTCAGCATTTCAACTTATAGCAATGTTTTAGCTTCTTTGCACAAGCAAATGAGTATCACTGGATTTTGTTTGACAATGTTTATATAATGTTCACAGTTCTAACATTATTCTCCTATGACCAGAAGGTACTTAAAGAACATATTTGGTTCCAACTTTATGAAATGCTGCTTTCCTTTTTCCTACAGTTCTCTCCTGGCTAATAAGAACATAATTCAAAGTTTCTCTTTATCTTACACTTTCATTTTGAATCTCCATGGCTGATAAAGAACATGGTATGGGATCTTACACCTAACTAATATGAATGCCTTATTCAGATAAAGGATGTGGTCAGTGGCATGCTTTACAAATAATGCTAATTAATTGGGGAGTTGACTTAATGTGAAGTAAACAGCACCATAATACTTCCTTAGGAGTCCAATATTAAAATACAAATGAATTAAATTGCAGTAAAATGAATAAATCATTATGAAATTTTTCTATGTTAAAAACTTGCAACAACAACAAAAGTGTCTGGTGAAAAGATAGAGCTTCAATGTACCACATATCATATGTGTGAATACAGGCAGCATAAAGCAGGGCTTTTCAACCAGTGGTACGGGTATCACCTGTGGTATATTGGCACCTGGCAGGTGGTACGCGACCATCCTAGAAAAGTGGTAGCGGGGGAGGGGAATGAGCTGAACTGGTGGCAGCACCGCACAAGCCTGAGCGAGAGACGGCTGGAGCTGCAGGGCTGTCAGGGCTCAGTGGAAGCGCCAGGATCAGCGCCAGGGTCCAGCTGGAGCTCAGCGGTGATCCTGGCGCTTCTGCTGAGCCCAGAAAAAGCACTGATCAGCTGGAATGTTGCAGCATCTCCAGGGTCTTGTGATTTACATTCAGATGCTTGGCAACTGATTCATATTTATGACGGTCACAGTGTCCCAGGGTCATGTGAACTGACCAAAACCTGCTGCAAACCACCCAGCAGATGGGGGGAATAAAAACCAAACAACCCCCCACCCCACCCCTGCTGCCAATCCTCAACAGAAATGCTCACAACAATGAAAACCTAGGACAGGAAGAAGAGCGCCGCCGGGCGGGCAGGCAGGTGTCTTGCTCGGCTGTGGCTTGGGGGGCACTTTTTTCAGTGTCATTGTAACTTCGAACAGTCACTAAGCGAACTGTTGTAAGTCGAGGACTACCTGTACTTTATCACTTTTTTCCTTTTTTTTTTTTTTTGATCATCAAGTTTTTGACATCTTGCTAGGCAACTCGTGGTACTCGGATATTGCCATATCCTAAAAGTGGTACAATGGGTGAAAAGGTTGAAAAGCCCTGGCATAAAGCATCTTCTACAGCCAATAACAAGTGAATAAAATCAATGCCTTCTAGCCTTCCAGGTAGGGGATCCTTCTAATATTTACAATAAAATGCCAATACCAACCTAGCAATGATATTTAAATGATATTTAAATAATTACTATTATAAAAGATAAGGATAACCCATCTCCTATTACACGGCCAGGGTGATATAACTTTCACTTTGCTATCTTTGTTCCAATTAAGTACACCATTTGGAACAAAGAAAATCATTGGGGGAAAAAATGCAGGAAGGGAATCTTATTCCTCTTCAGCAGTCAGAGGATGAAATGGCATTACCCGTTCACCGCTGCTTCCTTTGGGGCCAGGTTTACCATCATCACCATGATCTCCAGGTACACCCTAATTCAAAATAAGAAGCAGAGCATTTATTCTCTAATAATAATCACATAGGAGTTAAAGTGCTCTACAAAGACTAGAAAGTGCTTTCAGTACCCGTGGTCCTGGGTATCCTGGGAAACCGGGTTGTCCCTGTGGAGAAAAGGAAGTCTTAGAATCAGAAGAGTTGGCTTCCTCCCACCCCTCCCCAATTCCTTTTCTAGTGATTATGGATATCAATAGAGGCACTATTAAAGAATTAGTTATGCTGTAAAATCCAACTGACCAATATAACCCTTTGGAAGAGTCTCTGAATATAATAATGAAGCCTGTATGGGGATTCTGGGCAGTTAAATTCAGGGACCCAACTCAGACTGCAGTCCGTATAATGAAGTTTAATCCTTTCCCCCAAGTTCATTGTTTGAAAAAATGTTCTCACATGAGCGTGTTAAAAAAACTGGCATCAATAAAAAATTATCCATAGAAATGAATTGTGCAGAGCAGGAAGGTTCTGTGGAGAAGAAATCTTGCTTATGAAGAGATAAAAACCAGAAGGGCAGCTGCAGACTACAAATTTTACATTTCATTTATTTTGCCTATTGAACGGGTAAGGGGAAGAGAAGGAAAGGCCAAGGAAAGGTAGGGTTGAGACGTGAATACAAAAGAGCTTGGGAGAAAATCAGAGATATTGTGAAAATTGGGTGTGGCAGGGTGGGTGTTGTTATTGCCAAGGAAGAACAAAAGAAAACAGGCAGTCTTGTGTTAGAGGGCAAGAGACCTTTGGTTCTTTGTTGCAAATTCTGCCGCCGCCCAAGCCATGCTGTATGGATTAAGGAACTTTCAGATATATTTATAAGTCCAAACACTGATCCTATACATACCGTTCTGCCTTTAGGGCCTTCCTTGCCAACTCCATCTCGTCCATCATCTCCCTACAAGATGCAAAGGCACAAATCAAAATAAGCAATAGATACTGGGATCCTGAGAAGTCTCTTTGAACCTTTGCTGTACCATAAAGGGCATTAAACTCTAAACAATTCAGTGCTAAGGATGTTCTTTTGACTACAAGAGTGGATGGAAACCCTTTGAAATGGTTTGTAAGCCATCTGGACTGACCTTCAGGGAACAATCAAGGTTTTCAATCAAGAAACATGTGGAAAGTGTTCTTGATGTTGATTATCCCTGGCATCTGCTAGTGGTAGCTCTTTGATCAGTGAGTAATACTGGTTCCTAGTAACACTCACCGTTTCTCCTCGAGGCCCAGGAGGCCCAATGGGTCCCTTTGGACCAGGCTCACCAGCGTCACCCTGAAAGAGTTATTTGAATGTATCATGTAAGATATACACACAGTGCTTAGAGAACAATAGCATTAGCACTAGCAACAGAACTTAGACTTATATGCCGCTTCATAGTGCTTTATAGCTCCTATATAAATTATTTACAAAGTCAGCATTTTATCTCCAACAATGACAATGTTAAACTAATATTAAGAAATCTTAACAACCAAATATAAAGTAACAATAGTCCAGGGAGGAAGCATTATTGGAGTCCCAAAGGAGGGGAATAAAGAATCAGAATCAGAATACAGCTGGAAGGGACCTTGGAGGTCTTCTAGTCCAGTCCCCTGCTCAAGCAGGAGATCCTATACCATTTCAGACAAATGACTGTCTAGTCTCTTCTTAAAAACCTCCAGTGATGGAGTACCCACAACGTCTGAAGGCAAGTTGTTCCTATGGTTAATTGTCCTCGCTGTTAGGAAGTTTTTCCTTAATTCCAGGTTGCTTCTCTCCTTGATTAGTTTCCATCCATTGTTTCTTGTCCTGGCCTCTGGTGCTTTAGCAAATAAATTGGCTCCCTCTTCTTGATGGCAGCCTCTCAAATATTGGAATACTGTCTCCCCTAGTCCTTCTTTTCTCTAGACTAGCCAAACCTAAATCCTGCAATTGTTCTTCATATGTTTTAGTCTCCAAGCATTTAATCATCTTAGTTGCTCTTCTTTGTACTTTTTCCAAAGTCTCAACATCTTTTTTGTAACGTGGTTACCAAAACAGGATGCAGTATTCCAGGTGCTAATACTTCACGTAATTTTGATTCTATGCCTCTATTTATACAACCAAGGATTGTATTAGCTTTTTTGGCTGCTGCAGCACACTGCTGACTCATCAATAGTGGAGGATCTCAAGGAGGAAGCTTTTCCATAGAAGTGGGGAGCCATTGAGTAAGCCTGTCTCTGGACTCCCCCTATCCTGACAGCCCACAGGGAGGAATCCAAAGGAACCATTCTTGGATTAAGCACAGAGGAGGACAGGTTCTGCTCAGAGAAAATGGTTCTACGGGTAACAGGGCCTCAAGCCATTCAAAACTTTAAAGGCATTACACTCAAAAATCTACTGAGAGCCAATATAGCATCTACAACAAAGGTGTGATCCTGCTAAGGCAAATTTCACCTGTCAGCAAGGAAGCTGCCACATTTTGCACCCACTGAAATCTCTGGGTAATCTTCAAAGACAGCCCAAGTAATGTGTGTACTACAGTACAGTAATCTAACTTCAGTGAATTACTGTCACCAAATCTTCTCATCCACAGAGAAACACAACTTGTGCACCAGCTGAAGCTGCTCCTTCAAGCAGAACTCTGAATTCAGGAGAACTTCCAAGTTGCTATAATGGGAGCCTTAAATAATCCAGTGCTCTTTGAGTAAATGTCAACCATTAAACTTGCATTTCCCCATGTACTTTGTTGGGGAAAGAAAAATACCATTTGCAAGTGTTTTTAAAATGTGGTTTAATGTTATAGTTGATTGCTTACATTTTCACCTATTTTAAAATTAAACAAGATACAATACGCTTTTTAACATTCCAATGGGAAAGTTTAATCAAATATTTAAAGATTTTAACAATATTCTTAGTTTCTATAGACATATTTTTGAGACCCAGTTTGACGTAGTAGTTAAGACTGGAAAGATATATAGGCAGGGCTTTTTTTTGTCATAGAACGCCCAGAACGGAGTTCTGGCACCTTTTTTGGATGAAACCTTGCAGGATAGGCAAGGCAGGTTGTATAACGTGTGTTGAGTTCCGGCATCATTTTGTTTTACAAAAAAAGCACTGTATATAGGAGATAGTGAAAACAAGGTTTATTTCAACTGCCACCATTTCTGTCATTTAACTAGTAATTATTAGAGCTATTTAAAAAACTAACCTTTTTACCAAGAGGACCAGATCTACCACGCTCCCCAACAACTCCAACTGGGCCACCAGCACCCTATGGAAACAAGAAATTATAGGATGGACATATTAGTAACTGTTCCAGAAAAATGGATGGAAATTATAATTAAAGAGGGGAAAAAACCCTAAGAATGTAGAGGAACAAGCTTGCTATGTAAAAATCAGTGTGCAAAGGTAAATCTTGCCTGATCAGCCTTCTAAAGTTTTCTGAGATTCCCACAATAGGCCTGTGAATGGAAGCAAGCCTGTATAGATTTTCAAAAAAAGCTTTGACAAAGTCACTTAACAATGACTGTTCAGTAAATTTTGTTTTCATGGAAGAAAAATCCTTGTCCTTTTATGTATTATTGATTAAAAATGACATGCAAAAAGTAGGAATGAACAGGCATTTTTTTCAGGAAATATAAAGCAAGGTCTTTCAAGGCCCCATGCTTTTTCACTTCTTCATAAATGATACTGGCTTGGGATGCCAAACTATTTAAGGTAATGAGGGTCAAAAGAGATGGTAAAGATTCCAAAATAACTTGTTAAATAAGTGAATTGTTAAACTTATAGCAAATCAAATTCAATTCAAACCAGGCAACAAAACCCTAGCTTCATGTCCACACTTATGAGGTCTGCCTATAAATAACCATAAAAATGATCTTGAGTACATAATCAGTAGCTCAAGAGGTTGACTCAATGTGCAGCTGCCATGAAAAAGGCAAGCTCCACAAAAGTGATAATCAAGAAAGGGGCAGAATTAAAACTGCCACATTGTAATGCCCTTATAGAAATGCATGATGCATTCTCATCTGGAATACTGTATACCACGGGTGTCAAACTCGATCACATCACGTGACATATCATAACATTTTTTGCCTTTGCAGAACTGAGGTGGGTATGTCTTGCATGTGATGCATCCGGCCTGTGGGCCGCCAGTTTGACATCCCTGCTGTATACAGTTCCTATTGTCACATATAATCTTATTTATTTATTATTTGTTCAATTTTTATAGCTGCCCATCTCAGTCAATGACTCTAGGCAGCTTACAATTCAAAAATATATTACAATGAAAAGACTAAAAACATTTAAAACAATAAAACAATAAATATACACAGCAGCAACACAGCCAGGAAATAGGGCCTTTGATATATTCAGTGCCCCAGGCTTGGGAACATAGCCAAGTTTTCAGGCCCTTACAAAAGGCTAACAAGATTGGAGCCATTCTAATTTCCAAAGGGAGGATGTTCCATAGAGCAGGAGCCACTGTGGAAAAAGCCTGCAGCTGGACTACTACAGCTGGAAAGGATATATAGAGCAAGAAAAATTGTCAGGGTGTCCTAGACATACTTTCTGAAACAGGGCTAGAAAATTGCAACTCTGGCTTAGGAAACAGGTGACTCTGACAAGACATGTTCAAAGTCTATGAAATCTCATGTGGTATAGTGAAAGTGCAGTAGGAGAATGTCTTCTCCCTCTTGCCAAACAAGAGGTCCAAGAGTCTCCAATGAAGCTGACTGAAGGAAGATTTACAATAGGAACTTGATTTTTTATTTCACAAAAAGGAAGTAGTTGATCACCCAGGGCATTGTTCGATTCTTGCCAAAAGCAAGGCAATGGCCGTTAATTTGATAGTTTTAAAAGAGGATTGGGGGAAAATGTGTTACTTCTGGTTTGGGGACAGGAGGCCTCCAAATGCTGGTCCTTGTTATTGCCCACTTGCAGAGCAAATTCTCTTAAAACTTCAAAGAAAAAAAACGCTGGGCCATTTGGGGCTGACCTAACTTTATAAGTGATCAAGATATCTGGGGCTATGGTTTCATCTTCTGTTTTACCAGGAAAGACACCTGACAACCTCACAGCCACAAATGCAGACACTGCTTTTTGTTATGTCTTCTGGAGTGGTCACATGGCCAACCCAAGTGCATACTGGGATTATCATATGACTTTGCAGCTTTTGTTAATGAGAAGTGCTATCTAGACTTCTTTCCTGCCAGGATGAAAAGAAATTGACTCCCAACAGGATCCATAATAAAATTATTTTCTACTATTTCCACAGCTATCTGACGTTAAACTGTTCTTCAATCACACTTCTGATGATGATTAGAAACAGACAACAATCACTGAGTTTTCCCCATCTAAGACTGTTTACAATTTGCTCTTTAAGAACATCCTTGATGATAGAAAAACCTAATTTTACCCTCTGACCAGGGAGGCCAAGCTCTCCTTGAAGGCCAGGGATTCCAGTTGTGCCAGGTGGTCCCTGTACAAATAAGCAAAATTAAATATTTGAAACAGAAAAGTTCTGATAAATTGGTACATTCTTGAAATACAAGTTTATTATGAACTAAGATGTGAGATCAACTCCCAAAGCCACAGTACTATGTTATTACTGAATGAACAGAAATGAATGAATTTACAGTTTCCCATCTATCAAAAAAATCCTCACAATTACATCACAATAGAAGATAGCATAATATAATACTACTTTCATTTAGTGTGCACATTTACACGAGTCAGATGTCATGCCACTAGAACATGCATGGTACAAGAGACTAGATCCAATATTTTTGCAATGTTTCACATGTGGTTTAGCAATTCTATTGCATTCTTAACATTATTAGTTGATATTCTTTAGAATTAAGAAATGCATTGAGTAGAGGGTTGGACTACATGACCTCTAATATAACCTGCAAGTCTATGAATCTAAATTCTGTGGAAGACAGTAACACTCCTAATAACTTCAGATGACAATTTTATACATACACACATACAGAGAGACAAAAAAAATCCAACTGTTGTTGAGGACTGGTAGCTTGTATTTGAGGGTTGCATTTTGGATTCCTGGCTTCAGATTGTACAGTGCTGAACTTCTTTCTCCCTTTTTACCTTGATTTTTTATGCTATTCTATTTCATTTTATTTATATAAAGAGTTATACAATATTATCTTTAATCTCCTTTTGTAGCCTACTTTTTCTTAGGTGCTGTTTTGGAGAGATCTGGCCATAAATTAATACCCATTATAAACTATTATATTTGACAACTCAAGATAATACTTGATGGTTTTGATACAATCAGAAATAATCTACAAAAACTTTTTGCAATTAAACTGATAGCAATAATTTGTTAGAAATTACTATTGAAATTGTTGTTGCTTTTGCTCTATGGGTTAACACAACCCCTGTCCCTCTCCACTCAATGTATCCCAATGTCGTTTCCCTACTTTTGAAAATGAGCTGCAAAAACTCACCTGGGGACCTTTAATTCCTTGTTCCCCATTAAATCCTAGTGAGCCAAGGGCACCTTTATTTCCCTAAGAAATTAAAACAATTGAATGGAGAACGTAATGAGATAGACAGACAAACAGACAGACATAGACACATAGACATAGACAGATATAGACAAAGAGAAGTGGAGGTAGATAAAGAGATAGAAGGGAAAGGGAGATGGAGAGAGAAGCTTTTTATATAGCTACTGCTTAATTAGGCAGACTGGCATTTTCTTATGTTTATATGATTTCAGTTAAAAACTGCATTCTTCTTTGCATTTCCTTTGGGCATGAGGGTCAAATGAAATTAGGTTCTGTCAGTGGATGGAACATCTTTCAGATGCAGTCTTTTACGCTACTTGAGTTTTAAATTTATTTTCCTCTGGGATTACCTACGTAGTTGATTTAAAATCTCAGCCTCCTTAAACATTTAAGTTTACAAAACTCATGGATAGCTGTGGGGCAGTCAGAATTTCAAATATTTTATATTAACCTAATTTACAGAGTTGCTGAGGATACAGTGCATACAAAAACCATGTACTGTATGCCTATAGTACTGTAATGAGGTTTTTTAGCAGAAAGGTAGAATAAAAATCAGGTAGATATTGCAATGACTCCCTTACTGTGGCTAACATCATCGTTTGGGCTTTTCATTGTTATTTATTGTTTCAATGATAACTGTTTTTATATATTTATTGATTTTTCTTTTTAATTAACTGTTATAAGCTGCCCAGAGTCACACTGTTGTGAAATGGGAAGCCATATAAACATAATAAATAAGTAAAGAATTACAATTAAGTTGCTCTACTAGACTAAACGTCTTGTGTATTACAATTTCATAGGCAGATTTTCAAATAAATGTTTGTGAAATATATCTATGCTTTGCATGCATGTTTATACCTGAAAAATAATACATTTTTTTGTCCCAAAAAGAATTCTAAAATGGTTCTCTATGTGAAACACTCTGGTGAGCTGAGTAAGTATATTCTTCTCAAAAATTCTCCTAAATGCAAAGTTACTTAACAACTGAGAATGAAAAAAAAAATTCTATATTTTTCAATTTTTCAACTTTTATTACTTAAATTTGGCTATCATCACTTCCCCTACTATATATATATATGTTTTCTGAGGTTTTCGCGGGTGTTTGTATGTAGGTCTTTGGTTATTCGGGTTTTCTCCCGCATAAAATTGGAAGTGTCTTGGCGACGTTTCGACAAAGTCCCATTCGTCATCTTCAGGCTGGTGTCTTCAGCTTCGTGCTTCTAGGAGTAGTGTGTGATCGCAGCTGTTTCTTCCTTTTAACTGCCAGTGGGGTTTGAACTGATTGGGTGGGAGCTTGGCTGTGTTCTGATTGGTTAAGGGGCTTGGCTGTGCTCTGATTGGCTGGGGGTTGGCTGTGCTCTGATTGGCTGGAGGAGTGTTCTGTTTGGGTGGGGGCTTTGTTGGGCTCGGGTTAGTCTGAGTTGCAGGGGGATTTGAGATGGTGAGCTGCGTTGCTGTTGTTTGGCTTCGTGTTCGTGGTCATGCCACATCTTTATGGTGGGTGTCAGTTTTCTTCATGAATGGATTGGAGGGGTTTAAAGTGGCTAATGATGCAGCTGTGGACTGGCTTCTAGTTTGTGGTCGTGCCTCATCATCTGTGTGGGTTTGGGTTTGCTTTTTGCGTGGATGTGTGGTGGTGACATCCTGTGTGGTTTTCGTGAGTGTGGGTCTGGTGTCATTCTTTGTGTTAGGAACTCGTTTGCCAATAAGAGTGGGTTTCCAAATGGCTGGTAGGCGGGAGGTATCATCTCGTTTATTCATGCTGTGTGGGCGTTTTTCTATCTCAATGGCTTCTCTGATTATTCTGTTGTTAAAGTGTTCAGTTCTGTTGTTAAAGTGTTCAGTTAAACACGAAGCCAAACAACAGCAACGCAGCTCACCATCTCAAATCCCCCTGCAACTCAGACTAACCCGAGCACAACAAAGCCCCCACCCAATCAGAACACACCTCCACCCAATCAGAACACAGCCAAGCTCCCACCCAATCAGTTCAAACCCCACTGGCAGTTAAAAGGAAGAAACAGCTGCGATCACACATTACTCCTAGAAGCATGAAGCTGAAGACACCAGCCTGAAGATGACGAATGTGACTTCGTCGAAACGTCGCCAAGACACTTCCAATTTTACACGGGAGAAAACCCGAATAACCAAAGACCTACACACACACACACACACACACACACACACATATATATATATATACATACAATATTTATAAGACATATATAGCACATATAGCATACACCATGTAAAAACATAATAAAGACTTACTTTGATCCCTGGTGGTCCTCTTCTGCCAAGTGCTCCCTTGAAATAAATACAGCATAGCCATTCATTGTCATGCAGAGGTATCACTAGAAAAATATTTTCTTCTATTTTAATAATTACCTACAGCTTTTTATTATCTGGGGATTTTTTCTTCTGAATACCCAAACTGAAAATATATATCTTTCAACAGCCAAATGCTATAGGAAGCAGAAGATTCATGCTTCAAGGTGTGGAAAGGGATATGAATAAGATTGGGCCCTAGTATGCACAAAATAGAAAAAAAAGGTTTCTTTAAAGACTGAAACCGAACAGTCTTTCTCAAAAATTCAGATTGTTTTGACTTAGTTCTGTTGTGATGGAACAAAATGGCTAGATGGTTCCATCTGAATGCAGCTTAAAACGTCATGAGTGCTTTAACCAGGAAACAAGGGATTTTGATATATTGGCCAGTCTTTTGTTTCCATTCAGAGTCATAGAATTAGTTGTGATGGTACTTTATGCTGATTCCTGCCTCCAAACCAAATTACAAAAAGTTGTTCAGGAAGATAATTTTAAAAACATTTTAAAAACATTAAAATAATCTCCATAGGTAACAATGGGAATATAATTCTATTATTACCTACTGAAAAATCTGTTCCGATTAGAATCTACTAACCAAAAGCCTTTGTCCTTCTTAACAGGGAGAACAAATACATGTCTTTTAAATTATTTAAATAAACCCTCTAGGTTGTTGAGGATTGAAGAACTAACAAATCTGCTTAATATTTTTAAAGGATCTCTTCTCTATGAGTTTATGAGTTTTTCTTAAGATTTTAAATTTTTTATTTAGGTTTATTTTTGTGTTATTTTATCTTTGAAAACACTAACTTCTATTTAGCAAGACCAAGCAAGAGATTTGGTATGTTTTTCCCCTCTTCTCAGCCAGTCAGATGAAAGCTCAGCAACTGACTCCATCTTGGTAGATGTTTTTGTTTGTACAAAGGAGTGATTCCTGGTTACAAAAAATGAGCTGCTAGTTCTTTTTAATTGTATTAATAAAACGAACATTAACACAAGACACCAAGGTATGTCCAGAAAGCACCCACATACCAAAGTTCAATAAATTTCATCATTCTAACCCAACTTAGAATCTTTGTATTTTTAAATATAACATGAGCTCAATATTAGTAACAGATAATATATAATAGATATTAAACAGATAATCAAGCCAACACCATACAAGTAGAATTTGCAGTTAAACACTATCAACACAAATGTTATACAGAGAACTTTTTGAATAAACAAAGTAAAGTATATATACAGCTTACCCATCTGCTCCCATTAACTATAACTTCCCATAACAATCAGAAACACACTTGCACACACAAAACAATAATTTCCCAGGCAGGCTGCAGACATTCAAGCTATCTTCTTCTGTCTTATAAAAATAATGATAAAGATACCATAGAATCAAACTCAGCATCTTGTGACTACAACAGGAAGAAGTTTGAATATGTTTAATTTGCCTCAGTGCTCCACAGGTGTAACATCCCATTGAGTCTAAATCAACAACAGCAGGGACACGACTGATCCCAGTGTTCTGCTGAGTTGACTTTGAAACAAACACTCAAAACAAATGTTTTGTTTCCATTACAAAGTCAGTATATTTTGTGATAGACATTTTGTACACAACCTGACCCAGCTCTAGCTCTATTTCTCAACATGATGCAACACACTAAATCTTTCGCCCTTGATTATCATTACTTCTTAAACATAATTTTGTAACAACTGTGCATGGTTCCATCCCAACCAGCATCCTTCTTCCCTTCTTCCCCAGTTCCCTTCTGGAATCAAGATGTGTATCTTCCCATCTTCATTTGATATTGTTCCTTGTGAAAGTAGGGGCTCTTTTATCACAGGGACAAAACTATTGATGTCATTATGCCATCTTTCCTAGTTCTCTATCCAGATCAAAGTTTTGCATCACATTAAGTCACATCATCTCAAATCAAAGCCAATGAATTAGTCAATATTTTTTATTCAGACACTTATTCAAGGGATGCTACATGAGCTTCTCCAGAGTGATGCAACTCTATTGACAAAAATGCAACACAATAATCAGTCTTTATTGACTTTCTTTTCCTCATTGATTATATTCCTCCTCACTACCTATCTCAATTTCTCTATTTGGTTTAGTAAATATCAAAACATTAGAAATTAATAAAATACATTAGATTTTAAAGTGTGAATCTCAGCATATAATCCCATACAATTATGAGATCTTGCCTAAAGTGTTCCTATATTATTCTAAATCATCCAGGAACTAAATTTGATAAAGCATAGTATTCAAACATTTGAAATACATACATACATACATACATACATACATACATACATACATACATTCATACATACATACATACATACAAACACACATATGTCTATTATTGTAAAAACTATCTTATTAGCAAATGAAAAAGCAGGGAAAGTTATACACACATCTCTTCCAGCTCCTCCTGCATCACCTCGTGGTCCGTTTCTTCCAAGTTCTCCCTGTAAGAATACAGAACACTGAACTTGTTTATCACTAAATAAGAGACAAGTCTAAGTCACAACAGGACAATAAAAAACCTTTCAGTAGAAAGTATTTTTGAAAATTTATCTTTTCTTCTCTTAAATTAGGTTTGTGATATGGATATGAATGAATCCTGAAATGGGATAATTGAGAAAGATTCTGACCTCACTTCATTCCAATTCTAGAACTCAATAAAGCTCTGGTGCCAAATATTTTTCTTTTTTTCACAAAATATTATGAGACAACAAGGTAGGATTTATATTAATTTTCAAAAACTGGTTAAGTCTTCTCTCAAACTAAGAGAGATCTTAGCACTCATGCCATCATTAGTTCAAATAGAGTATTTTATAGGATGGAAAAACTTGAGATGGAGAAATTATTTATTTATAATTATTATTATGTTATTTTCTGAGTTGATCTGGCCAGTTGATTGGACCTAGTGATTGATTACATCTTTAATTGATTAACTTTTATTCCTCATCCCTCCCATTTCTATTATGGAAAAACCAAAATATCTGTAACAGAATAACAGAGTTGGAAGGAAATTTGGAGGTCTTCTAGTCCAACCCCCTGCTTGAGCAGGAGAACCTATACCATTTCAGACTAATGGCTATCCAATCTCTTCTTAAAAACCTTCAGTGATGGAGCACCCACAACTTCTGAAGGCAAGCTGTTCCACTGGTTAATTGTCTCATAGTCTCGTGCAGCTTTACTTTCCTTGTTAGTAAGTCAATTAGTCCAGTCATTAGATTGCATTAAATTCTCCCAAGCAACCTGGACTTGATTCTGGAGGTTCTAGAACAGCCTCCCAAGCCAAGTAGTATCTCTGTCTAATCCTCATACAAATCCAAGGATTGATATTTTACCGCTGATCCAAGTTCTCCCTTTTCGCCTTTGAGTCCTCTGTCACTGCTATCCGTTCCAAAAGAACCCTGGAAGCAGCCCGAGCAATGAAAACCAAGCAGAGTGAGATACAAGTTATAAAAAGTTTATAACACAGTGATGCATACAGTTCAGAGAAAGACTGTGTTCAATCCTGACATATCCACAAAGCTCATCTGGTAACCCTGGGCCTTTTTCATCTCTGTAACTTTTCTAAACGCATGGATGCATTAGACTACAGGAAGAGAAATCCTTACTCAGAAGTGTTGATACATAGACCTTGTTCACATCACTGAATACTTTGACCTTGTTTGATAATTTGCTTCAGCTAACTAACATACTTACATTGGGAAATAGACAAGGAAAGATAACTTTAATGATTCCCTGGGCCTATTGGAAAGATTCTGGTTTGTTTGGGTTTAGAAAGCAGAGTAATTTTGGGTTTAAGTCTTTTATGGCCCAAAATTGCACTGGTGAAAATTTTGCCTTTCACCTGGAATTTGGGGTACTGGTTGTTTGTATTCTATCCTGCACACAATTTAATATTTGCATGAAATGGCAAAACAGTACCCTCATTAAGAAAGGATGAGAATTCTCGTTGATTTAGATCATTTTTACAAGAATTTATGCAGAAACAAATGTCTTTACAATCTAGATTTTAGTCCAGGTATTGTGATGCTGAATTGGGATTATTGCCTCTCTTTTCTGATTTTTTTTTTTACTATTTAACTGCTAGATGACAGCAGTCATACAATGAATCTCTCCAGGTGGCTTTGATAAGTAAACAACATTCATAGATCTCTTAATAAATTAGAAAGAAGAAACTGAGAATTAAAAAAAATAGAATAGAATAGAATAGAATAGAATAGAATAGAATAGAATAGAATAGAATAGAATAGAATAGAATAGAATAGAATAGAATAGAATAGAAGCTGGAAGGGACCTTGGAGGTCTTCTAGTCCAGCCCCCTGCTCAAGCAGGAGAACCTATATAATTTCAGATAAGTGACTGTCTAGTCTCTTCTTAAAAGTCTCCAGTGATGGAGCGCCCACAATGTCTGAAGGCAAGCTGTTCCACTGGTTAATTGTCCTCACTGTTAGGAAGTTTCTTCTTAATTCCAGGGTGCTTCTCTTTTTGATTAATTTCCAACCATTGTTTCTCATCCTGCCCTCTGGTGACTTGAAGAATAATTTGACCCCCTTTTCTTTATGGCAGCCCCTCAAATACTGGAATACTGCTATCATGTCGCCCCTATTTCTTCTTTTCTTTAGACTAGCCAAACCCAAGCCTTGCAGCCATTCTCCATATGTTTTAGTCTCCAGGCCTTTGATCATCTTAGTTGCTCTTCTCTGAACGTTTCCAAAGTCTCGACATCTTTTTTGTAGTTATGATGACCAAAATTGCTTGTAGTATTCCAGGTGTGGCCTTACTAAGGCTTTATAAAGTGGTACTAATACTTCGCATGATCTTCATCCTATGCCTCTCTTTATACAACCCAGGATTGTATTAGCTTTTTTGGCTGCTGCTGCACACTGCTGGCTCATATTCAAGTGATCATCCACTAGAACTCCAAGGTCCCTCTCACAATTACTGTTTTTGAGCCAGGTCTCCCCTAATCTGTACTTATACCTTTGATGTTTCCTACCTAAACGTAAAACTTTGCTTTTCTCCACATTAAAGTTCATTTTGTTGGATAGGCCCATTGTTCAAGTTTGTCAGGATCTTTTTAGATCCTGAGCTTGTCTTCTGGAGTGTTGAATGTGAAAGGGCAAAGATGCACAGGGTAAGATATGGTCAGAGGACCACAGGTGAAGTTCCAGTTAAACTGATTTATTACAGTTCATGCCTATGCAAAGGAACCTAGCCAACCTAAGGATAAGGGTAAACAGAATTCAAGAGGGGTTGGATTTAGTCCATGTGTAGCTATGTAGAGATTCTAGGCTGATTCTAACTCTTTTTACTTCACCTCCAGGTTCTGCCACTCCCTTCCCTTTGGACATTTCCCCACTCATGAGATTGTATTCTGCCCAACTATTTCTAGCTCAGAGCAGATACAAATTTAGAAATCAATTGCATGCATCTTTGCAAATGCTTCATCCTGTCCAACTTCCCATTAGAGGGATTGGTCTTTTCTAAACAGCCAATAGATTCTGAAATGGAGGAGACAGAAAAAAATAGAAGTGGATTGTTGAGTGGTAGCTCAATTCTGAAAACAATTTCCTAGCCTCAGCATGTGCTTTGAAGTGCTCTGTACTGCTCTTCTGATTCCTGATTTTACACCCTTTTACCTCACAGATCTCAATATTTCAATAACAGTAAGGTAATTGTTGCAAGTATCAAGCCTGCCCATTCTGGTAGTTAACATCTTAAATCTGCTGCAATTTTAAATCTTTTTTAAAATAGTAATTATTAAAAGATTTTACATATATAATAAGTACTTTCAAAAATATACAGTAAAATGAAAGAGAAAGAAGAGGAAAAAAGAGATAAAGAAAAAAATCTCTCTCCCTTTTTTCTTTTTTTCTTTGTTCCTAGAATTAGAAATCTAAAGTATAAACATCTCAGTATCTTTCAACATATTTACCGGATTGCCTCGAAGTCCATGGTCACCTGGGTCTCCTATTTCTCCTTTGCTTCCTCTGCCACCCTATGAAAAAAATATTTCCATATCAAAACCATTACCCATAACAATGGAATCCTGTAATTAATGTGACTTTCACCTTGCCTTGGCTGATATTTCTAGCAACAAAATAACCAGCAGAAAGGATACTAGAACAGCCATCTCTATTTTTTTTTTAGTGAAGGGCCTATTCAGAGATACAACTGGGCTGCATCTTATAATGCCTCTGTGATTTGTCTCTCCAGTTAGGGCTTTACTGAAGAAAGCAAAAATATCTCAGACCTTTGCTGATTTCCCAGAAGTCTCTTTTAGCTCTATAACAAGCAATACATTTTTGGTTGTTTGGAGTTTTTTTCTTTTCAATTCTTGGAAATTTTGGAATAACAAAAAAAAATGCTTACCTGTCTACCAGGGCTCCCCCTCTCCCCAGGAACACCTGGAAAGCCTCTCTCTCCCTGGCAAAAGCAATCAGATTAATTGCATTTATTAATCAAAGTGTGTTACTGAAATGAGTTCTAACCAGAAAGAAATGTGATTTCATGTTCTTTATTAGTCCAAAAGTAACTCAAATGACTCACCTCTTCTCCATCTATTCCATCAAGCCCATTCTCCCCTAATTCGCCCTACAGAATCAAAGAAAATAATTAATTATTATAATCCCAAAAAGGAAATACTGAGGTGAAATTGACAATGAGAAAAGTATAAGACAGGGAAATGTGTATTCTTTTTTCTTATATTATATTGAAAATGTTATATACCTTTTCTCCTGGGAATCCACGGCCCCCCTACAAAAAAGAAAGAATTATCATTTATCTAATTAAAATTTTATTCAATTCCTCAAAACCTACAGCTACAGAGAAAAATGAATAGTCAAAAAATATTCAGATAACCATCACAGTTAGAATTATCTCCATTTTTTTATAAAATTAAGGAAAAGTTGGAATGACCTCAAAATAAATAAAAGACAAAAATAAATACAAAACAGAAAAACAGCAAAAAAAGATTGTTTCTCAATGAGTAATAAAGTCTCAATTTATCTGTAAAGAACACAGTTTGATGCATACACTTTATTACAAAAAAAGAATTCCACTGATATCTCACTGCACATAACACAGGTGAGGGAAGATGCGTAAGCTATAATTGGTTAAGGTAAATTCAATAAATATATTCTGTTTCTAATATCTGGAAACTTTCTTTTCTGACTCTCCTGCTCTTCTCAGAGCTTACCTTCACCCACCAGTTCCCCACCCCACCCACAAAAGTATTTGGACAATACTATTGATCAATTTTCTATCAGATGCTATGTGACTGTAGCGAACTAGTATAAAGTGGGCTGGTGTCTATTGAGACGTCTATACAGTATGTGTTCTTCTTCTGTAGAGCCCAATTCCCTTCCTTTACCTTCATTCCCCTTTCACCTGGGCAGCCTTGGAAACCTTGAGTTCCATTTATCCCAGGGGGTCCACGTTCACCCTTTGACAAGAAAGAAAGAAGTACGAGAGTCAGCATGGATACCTATTCAGTCACAAACATATTTCTGAATGATAGCAGTTAAAGAAAATGGATGAATATTAAAAAGGAAAGAATATTACATTGGATATTATTAGAATATGGAACATTTCTGTCATGCTACATTTAGACAATCCTGTCAACTAAAATTAAAAGTATACAGTTTTTATAATGCAAAACAGGCGATTGCAAGGAATTTTAGTCCAAAGATCATATTTGATCCAGAGCCATTGGGTTCCAGTTACTTGCAATGGGCATGGCCATAAGGTCTAACTTTCTTTCATGAAGGCAAATTCTCTTTTACATCTTTCATCCAAACACATACACACTTACCCTCTCAAAATTCGATCGGACTCCAGAATGGCAATAAGACATATTAAATGTAATACTAGAATAATGGACTCCATTCCAAAGCTTGTCTGAAGCAAAGATGTGACTCCAACCTCAATAGCAATGCTCTCAAAAATGTTTCCCAACTAGCAATAAGCTTTAGAAAGACTTCTGTGTGCACCAATTGAAATTTTAAAGCCAGATTGCAGTGAGGAAGTATTTTTGATACACAGTTCTGAAAGGACATTTAGTTCTCCTCACATAGACACAATTACAATCTGCCCAACATGCTCCTTAAAAAGTCCCCACTAAAAAGCTTCCTAGTCCTTGATGACATAAAGCCCGAACAAAGCAGGATGGAGGGAGTGGGAGAGTTTACCCACACCCATTCCTCTTTGTTCTTTTCTTTTTTAGGGAAGTACCTTGTGTTCTAGATGCAAAAGAACAGGATTATTGCTTCCTTAGCTATCTCCACTTGATTTTCGTAAGAGAGAAGTTTGTTTAGCTTAACATTAGCCTTTCAGCATTGGATAGTAGTGTTATAATGTTTTATATGACACCCTAATGCCCTGCTGTTTGTCCTTCTTAAGAAACATGTCTCTCGAGAACTTCCGGTGGGACGGCGCGCCGATGGCGGCTCTTTTCGGAGCCGTCCGCTTGGGAAGGCGTCAGAGCCAGCATGAACAGCGGTCAGCAGCTGTTCAGCGGCTTGGAACCTTGTGCCCCGGGAGAAGGGGTCGAGGTGAGTACTCCTGGATAGGAGTAGAGTCCCAAAAGCTCTCCCTTTATCTCGGGAGAGCGAAA